CTCACTCCCCACCGAGCACCAGCAAGAAAATGTTGGTGGACATACTCATACCCAGCTGGAAACAGGCCCTGAACCGAGTAAACGTGGTTCAGCTGTTTTATTCTGCAACATGTTTGCGGGAGCTTGCCAAAGGAAGGTGATGGTCTTGACAAGTTGCCAAGGCCATTCTTGGACGATGTGCTGGCAAAGTTCCTGCACGGCTCTGCCAGCTACTTCCTGAGGCGCGCCATGAGCGCAAGGGACACGGAGAAACGAACCAGCGCCTCGGATGCCAAAGCCATGCTCCTGGAGGTGTACCGGGATCCTGTGCTTGTGGAGGACCGGCATGGGTTAAACATATGCATGGCTCAATGATGTACGGGACATCCCTTATGCCCGAAAGGCTGATGTTTGGGCAGTTCTAAAAAGGGATCCAGGGATCCCATAGGATGGCCATAACAGGAATACTGTGGATGGACGAAATCCTGCACCACCTAATGATGACTCCCCTGTAAATACCAACCAAGAATGGTTCCTGTGGATTCACAGTGGCGCAGGATTTCGTCCACAGTAGAGCCAAGGGATCCCAAAATCGCCTCGAGAGGACTATCGCGTGAACGCTCGCGAGTTCCTGGCGGCGTTGTTTTACGAAGAAGGCCAACCAAGCAAGGCGAAGCAAGTGGAACTGGGGGAGGCACTGGACGCAGGCGGGGCTTCGCGTTGGAAGGAAGCAAGGTGCGCACGCTGGACGAAACTTGGGCAAGGTGTTCTTCCATTTGCTCAAGAATGTGTTCTATTTTCTTTTGTTGGTTTTCAAGGGAATTTGTCACTACTAATAAATATTTGATTGTTTTCAGGGGGCTTAAGCAAATCGAAGTTTTTGATAAACCCGGCGTCGAACTGATTCCCTCGCAAGAAGAGCAGACAAGTTGAACCCCTCGGAAGCTCCGCGCCAGACTTCAAACCGTGGGATCTAATTGAGTATGCTCAGACTCACTCGTCAATGTATTGACTCTTACCTGAAGGCCTTTGTTCAGTGGCCCCCTTTTTCTTTTTTTTGGTGGCTGCCCCACTAACATGGTCTTCCCAAAAAAGGCTTCCCTTTGTTTTCAGGGTCACTGAACAACTGAGAGGCCCTCATCCAAACATGTGGTTTTGCTGGGGAAGCACTTACTAGTAAATGCATAGACCATCATCTAAATATGTTTGTTTTTGCGGAAGCCGCGGAAGAACTTGTTCGATGGGGCCGCAAAGTGATCCAAGTCCCATCCAAAGTGATCGGCACCAGGTGACCTCAAAGTTGGTTACACAGCGCGTTCTCCCAGACCAGCACAAACAAACAAACAGCCACACGCACGCTCGCACGTGCACACATGCCAAATGGTCCCACGTGACTTCAAAGAGGGCCCAAATCAGCAACAAGAAACCGTAAGTGGGGGACGCAAGAAGGGTCACAAGATTGACAAATCCAGAACCATGCTTTATTTTGCCCTGTTGGTGATGAAGGGAACCTAGCACTACTGGAAACTTGTGTACATTTCCAGTGGACTTAAACAACTATAGAGGGAACCATCGTCCCAAGTCCAAGTCCCAATCTGAAGTTGGCCAGGCGCCGAGCCGGAGGTTGCGGTTTCCAATGGGCGAGATGCCACGGAGTCTGCCAAGAGATCCCAGAGCACTTCAGAGGGCTATGTGGCCCAGTCCGTCAATGCCTCAGGTACGACTAGCAGACCTGCGCGCACCTTTCCGGAGGAGAGGAAGGAAAATGCATCGTCTGTTACTGCTAGCAGACCTGCACGAACCGTGCCTGAGGAGAGGAAGGAAAATGCATCGTCTGTTACTGCTAGCAGACCTGCGCGCACCTTTCCGGAGGAGAGGAAGGAAAATGCATCGTCCGCTACTGCTAGCAGACCTGCACGAACCGTGCCTGAGGAGAGGAAGGAAAATGCATCGTCTGTTGCTGCTAGCAGACCTGCGCGCACCTTTCCGGAGGAGAGGAAGGAAAATGCATCGTCCGTTACTGCTAGCAGACCTGCACGAACCGTGCCTGAGGAGAGGAAGGAAAATGCATCGTCTGTCGCTGCTGGCAGACCTGCTCGCACTGTGCCTGAGGAGAGGAAGGAAAATGCATCGTCTGTCACTGCTGGCAGGCCTGCGCGCACTGTGCCTGAAGAGAGTGAGGCAAATTCCACGCCAGTCACTGCCAGCAAACCTGCGCGAACCCTGCCTGGGGAGAGGAAGGAGAATCTGACAGAGAACAGCGTGCAAAGCACACAGCGGCCGAAAGCGGCCCAGAAGAGTATTCCCTCTATTGAGGAGGTTTTAGCCATGCTTGATCGAGAAGATGAAGAAGAACAAGACTTGATGTATTGAGCAAAAGCTTCTCGCTGTGCACCAGGATTTGGGTTCATTGCCAAGCAATCAACTCCACGAGTTTGACTTTGGAGTTGTCTTACTCCTTAAAAACACAACTTTTCAACTTTTTGGGTAGCATGGGCTACATGTCTGTAGAAGATTAACTTCCCCAGGGCGCAGGGAGTTTTAAGGGGTAAGTTGTCCTTTTGTTCCGTAGAAATCGGCCAGCGCAAGATCCGCTTGACGCACGGGATGCAGCCTGAGGTGTGAAGGAGTCCGCCAGAAGCTCAGCGAGTGGATCGTCAGAGAGGCATTGATTTTTCCGCGCGACTGGCCTCAGCTCACGCATTCGGAGCTTGAAACAAGAGCTCATAGATGGATGTGTCTCCTTCAAGCTTAGCAGCTTGGACGCCCCCCCACAAAAAAAGGGGTGAGTTTCCCTTTCTGATTTCTGGTCCCCCTTTCAGGCCACCAGAAAAGGGTACCAACTGCAAAAAGACTCGTTTAGAGCCCCGTTCACGAGGATTCAAAGGTTCCGGCTGGCCAGGTGCGCAGTACAACAGCCTGGAGGCAGACCATTCCGTGGCTCAGCAGCATTTCTCAGTCCAGTTCTTTCCCTCGTTGATGAGGGGGGTCCCATTTCAGAGGCAATCCTAGGGAAGCCCCTTCGCCATCACACGAATCTGACAGTTTCATCTGGCTGTGGGTCAAAACCCTGTACCCCATCAAAATAGGTGGCCAATGGATGTTCGTCCCCGAAATGGCCATGGCCGTAGGTTATGCAACGCATGGCCATATGGTGCACGTCTTCGGCCAGAAATGGGCTGAGCTGAATGCGCCGACCGAGGACCTCAACCTCAGAGCCGAAGCGGCCCTGGCGGAGCAGGCAGCTGCGGGCTCAGCCTGCCCCGAGCCGGGGAGAAGGGCCTGGCAAAATGAGCCAAGGGCCCACATCCAAGGCATTCCGAGGTCAAAACCGACCAAAACAGCTGGGATTCCCAAAAAGGACGAGCCACCCAAATGGTGAGAGGAAGGTTGGTCCTGTTTTTTGGTTTTGCCCAAGGAGATTTGGGCCTAGGCATTGACCACAGAGCATCGGCGTGTGGTTGAGGAGGCACGGGAGGATGGGCACGCGTTGGTTGGCTAGCTAGATAGCGCATAGAAAATGTGTCAAGTGGAGTGTTCTTGCAAGTCCCTGCGATAGTCACATGCGTTTGTTTCGCTGGCTGGGCCCAAACTCAGAAACAAATGCAAGTAAAGTCCGGCAGAGCCAGGGGGAAGAATTTGTTCAAAGTAATTTAAAAAACAGTTTGGAGTGCACTGTGTTTTCCCGCTTTTCTTTCTTTTCTTTGTTATTCCCTTGTTTCCCTTCTCTCGCTCTTGTTCTTTCGCCCTATCTTTATTTTCATATCTCGTTGTTTATTTGTATCTCTCCTTCTCTCTGTATCTTCTTCTTTGTTATATGTCTCTTTCTGTTTCTCATTATCGTTGATTCTTTGTTTCTGTTGTGTTGCCCTATGTGTTTGTTCTTTGTTTCTGTCATTATGCCTTCTGTTTTCTGCTTTCTGCTGTTTGTTATGTGTTTTGCTTTTTTAGTTCTTTCGTTATGTCTGCATGTCCTCATTTCTTTATATATATACACATTATTTATTGTTTAGTTCCATGTTTCTGTCTTTTCCGTATGGTCAGTTTCGTGTTTTACACACTTCTGTCGCGATGTTTATCTTGCTTTGTCTATTTCTTTATGTCAGTGTGTCTTTCTTTATTCACTTATGTCGTTCTCTCTTTCTCTCTTTCTCTCTTTCTTTCTTTCGTTCGTTCGTTCGTCCGTTCGTCCGTTCTTCCTTTCTTCCTTTCTTCCTTTCTTCCTTTCTTCCTTTCTTCCTTTCTTCCTTTCTTCCTTTCTTCCTTTCTTCCTTTCTTCCTTTCTTCCTTTCTTCCTTTCTTCCTTTCTTCCTTTCTTCCTTTCTTCCTTCCTTCCTTCCTTCCTTCCTTCCTTTCTTTCTTTCTTTCTTTCTTTCTTTCTTTCTTTGTTTATTTCTTTTCCTTTCTTTCTTTCTGTTTCTTTCTTTCTTTCTTTTTGTTCTTTCCTGTCTTCCTTCCTTTCTTCCTTCCTTTCTTTCTGTCTGTCTGGCTTTCTTTCTTTTTTTCTTTCTTGTCGTCCTTCCTTTCTTCCTTCCTTTCTTTATTTCTTTCTTTCTTTATTTCTTTCTTTCTTTCTGTCTTTCTTTGATTGTTTCTTCCTTTCTTTCTGCCTTTCGGTCTTTCAGTCTTTCTTTCTTTCCTTTACTTATTTAGTTCTTCCTTCTTTCTTTTCCGTCTTTCTTGTTTTCTTCCTTTTCTCTGGCCCTGAGAATATGAACTAATTCTCTGAGTTGTTCAAGGCTGTGACCCCACAGAAAGTCCGCAAAGGGTTTACATGTTGCTTGCGCAAGCTGAAACACAATCCCAACAAACAGCCGAAAGTCTGCAGGGGTTGCACCGAGCGAATTGGAAATCGTAGAGTGCGCGCCACCGCTATCCTCCTGCCGTCAGATGCTCTGCCAGCTCTCGTGGATTCATGTCTTGGCACAAGGTTTGTTGCTGGCTCATAGTTTTTTCACGCTTCATGCGTGTCTTAGGGCAATTAGCCGAATTAGATCCAGTGCTTCGGAAGTTCTTGTTAAACTTCCTTTGACAAGTTGTAACCGCACGGGGCAGGTGTCACGAACCTGCTTCAAAAGGTTGCACTGGCCTAGGAGAGCTGTTGGACTCGAATAAACCAAAGAGATTACGCCCCAGAGATGTAGCCTGTGATAAACTAGCGAGCGGCGTTCATGCCCTGCCTGCCAGGTCCAGCGCTTGCAGAGCCAGACAGAGGTGCAAGCAAAAATGGCCATGGTGCTTCATAGTGGTGTCCATGTTCCCCTTTGCCTGGGGGAAAAGTTAATCCTTCAAAAAGACAACCGTGCTTCATAATTCTTGCAGTTTGTGAGCAGCATGTCCAGGGAAGACAGTCGACCCGGCCTCAGCGTCAGTTCTCGAGGCCACCCATTTGGATACGTGAGTACGTCTCAAAGGATCACGTTTCTGAACCTGACCATCCTGAGGGCTCTGAAAAAAACCTGTGGAGCACCTTCCAACATGGGCCACGCATCCAACCACGGCGTCATGCGGAAACGTGAGGCAGATTGAGCCGGAGCTGTTGCAGCTGAAGGCTGGGCCGACCTCAAACGAAAGGCTCGACCTCTTGGAAACAGTGGCTTGGCCAGCAATCAGAGAGCTCAAAGCCGACCCCATTTGCGTGATCCCTCGTTAAGGGCCGCCAAGATTAAACCCACAGAAGGTTGGGCCCAAGCAGCAAGGGGGAAGAGCAACCCAGGTCGGTGGCACCCCAGGTCGGTCCTTCGTTTGACGGGCTCTCCAAAAGTTGTCAGCGAGAAGGGCCCCTGTTTACCGTCACTGGACCACCGGGTGTACTGCACTTGAAAAATGTCAGGAAGAAATATGTCATCACCACACTCGTTTCCAGGGGAGGTGCGATTGCTTGCTCTGAATGCGTGAGATGATGGAAAAAATATTGCCCCTCTTACACCCAAAAGTTAGGTGTTCGATGCCTTTTCTCAAGTGGACAGTCTTTGGCAAAGCTTTGCCCTGGAGCAACCTGGAAGCAGTTTAGCTGCCCACCTCAAGCGAACCTGGAACCACCAGCCTCGTAGGTATCTAGTAGCAAGCATTGCCCAACAGGCCGTCATCACGTCAAGTTATCAACAGTGGAGCCTCCGACATCGGTTGACAGGCAGAGAAGGATTTGCTGGCCAAGCAGGCTTGCTCATAGCGCCAGATAGCATTGCTGTATTGCTTGTGTGGCCAAAGGCGCATAAGCAACATTTGAAGATACTTGTTGGTGCGGAAAGCGTTTGGAAACAGCGGCGCAGACCAACCTAATTGACATGCAGGCAGGCAGGCAGGCAGGCAGGCAGGCAGGCAGGCAGGCAGGCAGGTTCGCAAGCGGGACAGGTCAAACAGCAGGAAGAATACCTCCAGTCCCGGCATGGCACTTAGAAAGGCTAAGCCAAGTTCAACACCCTTCCTTCTCCTGGCAACTGTTCATCACTCTACAATTTGCTTGCTCTCATCCGGAAATTCGGCAAAACTCCTACCGGCCCTTCCCTACAGAAATTTCCCGAAGAACAAATAGGGCAGTTGCTGGGCCGGGCCAAGTGTTCAGCGCCTGCCTGATTTATGAGTTGCTGGCTGGGGAATACCAAGGCAGGCCGACTTGAAGGCTGACGCGGAGCGTTTGCGTGCCAGGCACTCGCTGAGAATGAGTTGCAATCCGCCAAAAGTGGGTTGCTTGCACCGGGCTCATGCAACAACGAGTTCGATGAGCATGTTATATTGCGTAGATGACAGGGGGCCTGGGCGGAGCATGTCTCTTCCCTGGTTTCGAGGGAGAAAGGCGTAGTACCATGAATCCATTCGCACATTCCGAAGGCAGGGGATGGTTTTGTGGGAAAAGCGTGGGGGAGGCGGGGGGCGGGTGGAATGCTGGCAAGTCCGGGGGCGCAAATAGATTCGCAGGCACAACTCTTTGAAGTATCCTCTTTGGTGCCGGGGCGTGAAGTTTGCGCCAAGCTCGGAGCGCAGCCTGCATGGCCACCAAGGAAGAAAACCTCGCGCGAGCTGACGAGTGGAAGGCGATGATGCGACAGCCCCAGCAGATACCTGGAAAGGACCCGAAGGTGGGCACCAGGAAAGCAGCTGCAACTGCATGGGGCTTTTTGCAGGGCATTGCTTGACTGGGAATGTTGGGCACGGCAGCTTGCGGGAGCCCCCAACCAGAGCGAGTGGGCTTGGGGCGGGTGCTTGCCGGTCACTTGGGCACAAGCCGATAAAAGGGCTCAGGTGGGTTGGCTGAAAGTGTCCATGGCCACTGTCCATTCCTTCAAGGCCTAACCAGTGGTTGGAAGGGAGCCAAGGAGCTAGGGGTATCCAAATGCCAAGAGGGAGCTGGGGGGCTACCAGGAGGTCTGTAAGGACATGGCAGAGGCAAACACGAGGGTCTTTGAACAGATCCATCTCAGTTCCAGGAAGGTCTTTTTGCCCCCTGTAGTGAAGCATGCCTTGTTGAGGGGGTCGCCGATTTTCCCACAAAAGGTGGCAAAAAGACCCCCCTGTTCTGTTATGCCGGAATGGGGAACCTCTCGCATCAAAAATGTAGCCCAGGGCAGAGCTCAGCGAGCTCCGCGGCAGCTTGCTCCTTACGAAAGAGATTTGGGCATGTTTGGTTTTGAAGGATAAAGGGGCACCCTGTTTGGCCACAAACATAAATTAGAAAAAGTTGTTGTTTTGTTGTTGCTGTTTGTTGGTGTTTTTTTTGCTCGGGGGGTGCCTATTTTGCAGCAGCATGTGCTTCTGTTCAAGCGCACCACTTGGTGTAAGAAATTGTGTTCACACCACACCAGAGGTGGTTCACGGAGGCGGCCTGATAGAAGTTCTGCTTGACAAGGGGGCCCCAATTTCTGTTGGGCGAGGCCGAAGCTCGCTGGAGACGAAGTGCGGTGGCTTGACGGACCAGGCCACGCCCGAATCCACCAAAGCACTCCAAGAACCAAAAAAAAGCCCTTGGCCTTGCAACTGGCACCTTTCCGTGGGCCTCTTCTTTTTTTTTGGTGTTCGTTGCCTTGTCTTTCAAGACCCTGACGAGTGACGAGTCGGATGACGAGGCGGAGAGAGAGGAGGGAGAGAGAGAGAATTGGCACTCCAACCCCTTGGACCACCCATAGGTTGCACTCCCTGAACAGGGCTCCTCAAAAGAAATTGTTTTTGCAACCATTTGAAGCATGTGGCTGTTTCAACACCAAAATAAAGGGAAACGACCATTTACAAGTTGCAATGTTCAGGTGTATAATGTAAGGATCCCTGCTGAATTGGCAATCAAACCTCCGGTGCAAGCTTCTGGCACGGGCACGGTGCAAAGCCAAGCCTAGGCTCGTGTTTTCGAGGGATTTTGGGGGCCTGTTTTGAAGCGAAACCACGATGAAAGCGTGGCGCATTTGGGGGGCGACCCTATTTTGGCGTACCCGTTTGTTGCCTCTGGCCAAAAACACCCTGAGTATATCTGAACGAGGGTTTCGTTTGCCAGGTGAAGTCCGCGCAGGAAGAATGTGAGAAGCAAAGAGGGTGCGGACTCCCGGAAAGGAAGCCGCCTGAGAGAGGACTCGGGAGCACTTTCCGTGCCCAAGCCCTTTGAGTGGAGAGTTAGCCTCAGCGCTCCGGCTGAGGCTTGCGCAGCGCACAGCTTTGGAGCCGCTTCGGCTGCGAGAAATGGATCTGGACATGCGAGTTGAAGAGTATCAAATGCAGATTGCCGCGCAAAGGACCTGCAGGTGTATTCGCCTGTGGTTTTTTGCAGCTTTCTGAGTGTAGCTTCGACTGCTAAGGGGAAGCAAGCCATCCCAGAGCCAAGGTGCGAGTCTCTGAGAGCTGAGCAGCAGCAGCTCCAGAAGAAGGCCCGACAAGCTTTGAGAACCATGCAACTTGCCCTCCCCTAGTTCCATTAAGTGACTTTTGTCACTTGGCTTGGACCATTTTAGCGGTAGACAAAAAGCTTGGTTACTTTTTGCTGGCAAATCCACTCGGCAAGTGAGTTGTTCAAGTGTTTGCCTTTGTGCATTTCCTTGATTTTCCTTGGGGCCCTTGGATTGGTTTGGCCGAGTCACTGGGATTATGCGGCAGCGTCCTGCCTTGGCCTGCGCCCCATTTTTTGCGATTTTTTGGAGGGAGAGAATCCAAAATGCCCAGAAAAGCCGGGGCAGCACCGCGTGAACTTGGCAACACAAGTCTTGTAGCCATTTGTGGAGAGACATCAGTTTTCTCACGCCCTGTCCAGAAAGAGTGCAATGATTCAATGTCCAATGAGGTGCAACCTTGCAACATGTTCTTTTGGTGTGTTTGTTTTCAGGGACCCCCTCCCCTCCCCAAAAAAACAAAGAATAAAAATAAAATTACTGGTTTGTTTCTAAGACTAATCCAAGCGTTGCCCAAAAAAATCATCAACCCCGATTCTTTCTCTCTCGGCATCCAGGTGTTGGATGCCGCAGCTGAACAACAGGCCGCAGCGGAAGAGGCGAGCGAGCGAATGCCGGAGCCAAGGGCCTGAACGAGCGGCGAGTCATTCGAATCATTGTGGTTCATGTTCGTTTGCAGCGGCCATAAACAAGTGAGACGTGCTCAAAACTCAAAACCGGCAGACCATTTTAGTACCGGGTTGTGATTGTGGCTCAAGTTACCCCCCCCCCCCAATCGTGGAAGCTGACAGAAGGCTTTTTGGAAGGCTATTTTCCTTTGGGGCAACCTCCATGTCCACTTCCGTGATGGTTGGAAAGACGATAGAAAACTCGGGGGAAGCGAGGAATTCATTGCGACTCGCTTTATGCAACCTGATGGTCCAACGAGCTACGACCGCGGGATACGCGAGCAGAAAAAGACAAGCATTCCCAGATATTCCCAGCAAAGCATGGAATGTCGGAAGGCTCCGGCCAGAGCAGCACTGCAGCCTGAGTTGGAAGTTCAAAGAGCTTCATGAATACAGTGGAGTTACGTTGCTACACTTGCTGCCATGCAGCGCGGCATCCGAACATGCATCATGCGAGGCCGGCTGATCCAAAATGCAGTCAGGTGTTTGGTACCCAGAAGGGGTTCGCAGTGAGTTGGATTGGGAGGCCTTCCGCTCTTTGCGTTCAGCAATGATGGTGCCCAACCAAGCCATCAGTTCAAAGCACCTCCCACGTAAATCTGAGGCTCCTTGCCTTTTCTCATGGCACCTATAAGGACGTCGCCGGGGATTTCTGCGTTGGGAGGGCCTGAGAAGACTTTGGAACCCATGCGCAAGCGAGGCGGCACCAGCAAGGGCATCTTCCTGCAAGCTGCGGATCTGCCGCCGCCAGGGCCGCCCCTTGAAATCCATGCGGATAACCTGGGCTTCAAACAGCTTAGCTGATTCCAAACATTACCCCAAGTGTCGGTGACGGCGAGTTCTGCGCGAGTTGCCGATGTCTGTTTTGGTGTTTGCAACTTCCGTGAGCTTCCTTCCAATGGAATGACGTACAGTTCTGGGAAGGGGGAAAGGAGCTCCTTGGTCCTGTTCTGCAGATGGGAATGTCGCCGAATAGTTCGCCCTTTTGCAGCATTGCTGCAAAAACCAAGCTGTCAGGGTTCGATTTGGAATTCAACTATGAAACTAAGCTAATTGGTTTCTGAGTATTTTTCCTCTCAACACAACAAGTAACGCCAGGTACCCTACACCTCACACAAAAACAATGGCGAGCAACAAAACGAAAGCAACGGGTACCCCATCACAAAACACGGGCCATGCTCGTCGAACCCGGCCGCGGCCTCGCGGCGACGTTCTTTGTTTCGCCGCTGGAGGCTGCGGGACGCGGTGATCCTGCGTCTCTTCGGCTCGCCAGACCCGCGGCAGAGCCTGGGAAAGAGAGACGCCAGGGATGCCTGGGTGTTTTTTTTTTTTTTTTGTGTGGGTTTGGTTGAACATGTGGATGGTTGCGAAATCCATTTCGCACCACCGAAGAAGCCCTGGAATGAGGCGATTCCCGTGCAAATACCAAACAATGGTGTTTCATGGTTTTGAAAGTGGTGCAGTCTGCAGGCTTTGTCCACCCACAGTAGGCCCTGGTTTCCCCCCGTGGTTTATTCATTTTTGCCAGGGCCATCACTTTCCGAGCAAACCAACCAAAAAGGACACCTATGTAGAGCTGGGTATGTTTCACGGCATGTTTTTTTTTTAGAGTTGGGTGGTTGGACATGTGTCCCCACCGCATTGTGATGTCCAGCAAAAATTGCCCTAGTACAATTCACACTCATTTGGACGTGTCAAATCAGCGAACCCCCCAAAACGGATTTTGGCTTGCTTTTTGGTTTCCCTTACCAGGCTGAAAAGAGTAGCCTCACAACAGCAAACCCACCCGGTGCTCAGGAAGGATAAGCGCAGCCTCAAAGTGAACATTTCGCGTTGGAGTTAACTTTTGGGGGTTGCGTGTCTCTAAATCCCCAGTTACAGGGTAAGTCGGATCACCGCCAATTTGTCTACATAGAACGACTGGGAAATGAGTGCTCTTGCAACAGGAGAGCCTGGTGATTCCTTGGCTCCCACAAAGATCTTTTGAGAGTCTTGGGTGCACGAAGTGCCAAGGATTGATGGTCTGGGAGGGGCGGACACGCTTACAAGCAAGCTGGAACCTGGGCAGCAAGCATCAGGTCCAATGAAAGATATGGCTGTGGGTCAACAGCAATGGGATGTCATTTTGGGGTAGGTGCACCACCCATGTTGGTCTATTTTAGTGGGCATTGGGATGTTCACTGGGGGTACGATTTGGATTTTGACCCACAGCCATATCAGTGAGCCTTCGATGGAATCTCTGAGTGTGCGACAATCTCAGGCCATTGTTGGACCACCGTCAGTGCCATCGGCCGATGCCTGGCAAGAAAGAGATGCTTGTGCCCATGCTGTTGTGGTTTTGGGTTTGTTTGTCTTCGGGGTACCCCTTCTTGGGTGGTTTAAAGGGAAATTAAAAGGACCACCACCACCCCCCTCCCCTTTTGGGGGGAACCTTAGAAAAGACCCACCCTTTTCGCTGGGCGGTTGTGGACATCAATGAGGACGTGGACTACACCTTCGGCCAGGTGTCCTTTGTAGAATCAAAGGCTGGGCCTGCAAAGCCCCGTTCTCGCAAGTGCACACCCTGGAGGTTGACTATGGTGGCAACTGCGGATGCTTGGCTCGACAATGACTGAACATGTGGAATGAGCCCTTGGAGTGGGTTCTTGGGCATGCGAAACCTCTCCTGGATCAATCAGCAAGCAGTGCGGAATCGCTGCCATTGACACCCGTTGTGACGCCACAATGCGATCAAAAGTCGGATGGTTGCTTTGTGAGCCAAGGCAACATCTCTTCTGCCGTCGGACCTTTCGCAGTTGACAAGGGCTTGCTGCAACTCACGCCTGGCGAGACGATTTGATGCAGATAGGTTGCGACGCTTGTTGAACTTTGTCTCCACCATGGAACCTACCAGTAGGCTCCTTTAGAGGAAGACAGTCTTCCAGGAGCCCCCAGAAAAGCCATGTCAGTGGAGGGTATGTGCTTCAGCAACGTGTGCCCGAAGCGGCCAGCTTCCCAAGGACGCAGCGCGTGGTGCGCATCCATAACACCAACACTGGCGCACTGCTGCTCTCGACTGTTCAGCTTGGCGAAGCTTGGAAGGCAGAAGACGCTGCTGAGTCATGCGAATGCGGTTCGGCCGGACTAGCACCTTGAAGCACCTTGAAGCACCTTCAGGCTGGATCCTGAAGCGGCGGAAAAGGATTTGTGCCTATGTGAGGTTCTCGGGCGGTCTTGCAACCCCATGTTGGCTCAATTTGCCTCCAAGTGGTCTTGATTCCAGCATTGCTTTCTTCAGACGGAACGCTGCCGGCCGGCGTGCCCAGGAGGGAGGAGCAATGGTGACTGGCGAGGCATGCATCGCTGGGGCCGCTGGGTCGCAATGCGGGGGAAGGGGGTGCTAAATGAGCCGCTTAAACAAGGCCCGTCGCAACTGGAAAGACCGGTGACTACTCCAAAAGGCGCCTTGTTTGTTTTTGCTTTGTCCTATGTGAAGGTGGGCTGATTGTGGCAGTCTCATGTTTCGAGGGTCTGAATTTGGAGCATGTAGGTGCCGGGCAACGGCGCAGCGGTGGACTTGGACTTCTCGGCCCCCTGGCCAAAGGCGCAAAAGTCGGCTTCCCCTGTTGGACCGTAAAGGAATGCAGGAAGGCGTTGGCTTCTTTTGGGCTTGTGTTGGTCGTTGCCGTCTTTTCTTCTTCTTTTTGAAGAGTTGGCGAAACTCCAAAGCCAGGGGGGAAAGGTGGTGTCTATGTTCTGCACCAGGAGGTAGAACGAGCGCCCATGATCCTTAATTTTGGTGTTGAAGTATGAGAATGTGGGGTGTGTGGCCGCGCGGTGGGCAAGTTTTCAGGAAGTGGTTGCAAGCAGGATATTGCATTCATCAGCGTATGGCAGTCGCAAGTGGCGTGATTTAAGCCTTAAGTTGTTTTAGTCATTGGTTCATGGCCATGGCTCATGTCACGGGATCCAGGAAGACAATTCTTAGCAATCTGGGATGCGTCGGTGGGAGGGTATATCCCTTGGTGTGGCCGAAGCGTGGTTCATTTCAGGTTCCCCTTAGTTGGTTTGGGTCCTTAACCACCAAACCACTGGTGCAAATCACTAGTTGGAAGGAAACTGGTCATTCGCGGATAAAGATTTCCCACTGTGGGTCTGTCTTTTTTTGGGGGGTTCCCCTTTTTTGTGGTTTTAAAGGGGGACCAAAGGGACAAGCCCACCATGCTGATGGGCCCCCCTATCTAAAGACGCACCCAAGTGTCCTTGGCAGTTGGTCGTTCGGTTTGGAAGGCTGCTGCCAAGGCGACACAGGGCAGCGTCACGGGCAAGCTCTTGCCCTCCGGGCAGCGCGGGCCCCAGGGGCGGAAGGTCCTGCATGGTCCTGCGATTTTTTTGGGGGGGGCCATGGCTGGTTTTAGGAGCAGCTTCCCTGCAAGTTGGCCTGAAACCCAGGTGCCGCAAAAGGAGATTCTATTGACTCGGCCTGGGCTCGGGTTTGAGAAGACTTGTCTAGAAAATACTTAACCTTGAAGCATGCTTTGTTGAGTTGGGTTCATGTTGGGTGCCAGGTTCATCTGATCTGGCTGTGGGTCAACACCCTGTACCCCCAGTGAACATCCCAATCCCCACTCAAATAGAGTAAAACGGGTGGTGCACCTACCACAAAACGAAGCCATAGGTTTTGACCCACAGCCGTCTGAGTATGGGAGGGGCTCATGTTGAAGCAACCGCCTAGGCTGCGAGATCTCTTGCAAGTGCCTAGCGGCGCTGATGGCGCTGATGGCGAGGAGGTGGAGGTGTCACTCATAGATGCAGGCCCGGTTTCTGAAGGTGGTCAAGCCCCGCGGGCATCCAAGTAGCCTCAAGAATGTGTCTAGGAACTGTTGGCAGGCCAAAAAAATACTTCGCTTCCAGCAATCCCCACCCTCCACACTCACGAGCTTACGACCGTGAACACGGTTGTGTGAATTCAAGCATGGTTTTCGAGTGGCTTGGGGCCTATGACTGCTCAACAAGCTTTGCATTGAGAGCCTTATCCACCTGTTTGTGTGTCAAACTCCACTTGTCTGCGAGCCGATCTCGAGAACTCAAACATCGGCTCCGTTAACAAAGACAAGCCCCTTCCAACAAGAAACCCGACGGGGGATTATACGAAGTTGCTTATTCACAACCCAAAGCAACATAAAAGCATCACCCTTTCCGAGCCTCAGGGTACACTCAAAAGGGTACACTCAAAACACGAAGGCACCAACATGAAATGTAAACCCAACTGTGCGCCCGGCGGGACATTAAGCAAAACCAGACTGGCGAGCTGCTCTGGCGGGATTCTGGCGGGATCCACTGGCGAATACCGGCGAGCCGCTCCGGCTCGATACTGGCCGGATACTCGGCAGGATCCACCGGCAAGGGATACTCAGCGGGATACTCAGCGGGATCCACTGGCGAGCTACTCTGCGATACTCGGGGGGAATACCCACTGGCGGGCTGTTGGCGGGATCCACTCGGCGGGATCCACCGAGCTACTCTGGATACTCAGCGGGATACTCGGCGGGATCCACCGGCGGGCGGCTCTGGTGGGGATCCACTGGCCAGCTGCTCTGGCAGGATACTCGGCGGGATCCACTGGCGGGCCGCTCTGGCGGGACACTCGGCGGGATGCACTGGCGAGCCGCTCTGGCGGGATACTCGGCGGGATCCACTGGCGAGCCGCTCTGGCCGGACACTCGGCAATCCACTGGCGAGCAGCTCTGGCGGGATACTGGGCGGGATCCACTGGCGAGCAGCTCTGGCGGGATAATGTTGGGGAGTGAATAAAAAAAAAAAGGGCCCCCCCCCTCAAACAAAATGGGGGGGGTCAATAGAGGAAACCCTAAAAACAAAATGAGGGTCAGACCGGGTCTTCCCTAAGTAGTGTTCCAGTAAGTATTGGTTAGTATTGGTTTAGTATTCTTGCTGACTGGCTTAGTACTGCTTAGAATTGGCTTAGTATTGGTTTAGTATTCTGACTGGCTTAGTACTGCTTAATGTCCAATCGGGATTAGTAAAGGGGGGTCCCCCCCCCCCCCCCAACGATGGGGGCATCTGGAATAGCATCTTGAGATCCAGTTCAAGTGAGTTTCCATTTGATTTAGTATTGGCAGACTTGAGTTTCCATTTGATTTAGTATTGCTGGAGCTTCCTTTTGAGATTTGGAGCTGAGTTTCCATTTGATTTAGTATTGCTGGAGCTTCCTTTTGAGATTTGGAGCTGAGTTTCCATTTGATTTAGTATTGCTGGAGCTTCCTTTTGAGATTTGGAGCTGAGTTTCCATTTGATTTAGTATTGGCAGACTTGAGTTTCCATTTGATTTAGTATTGGCAGACTTGAGTTTCCATTTGATTTAGTATTGCTGGAGCTTCCTTTTGAGATTTGGAGCTGAGTTTCCATTTGATTTAGTCTTGCTGGAGCTTCCTTTTGAGATTTGGAGCTGAGTTTCCATTTGATTTAGTATTGCAGGAGCTTCCTTTTGAGATTTGGAACTGAGTTTCCATTTGATTTAGTATTGCTGGAGCTTTTGATTTAGTTTTGGTAGACTTGAGTTTCCATTTGATTTAGTATTGTAGACTTGATTTCCATCTGAATTACTCAGTTTCCATTTGATTTAGCATTGGTTTTTCATTTCCTTTTCCTTCTCTCATCTCTTCCTCTCTCTCCTTGGCTGGCTGGGAGGGGGCAGGAGGTTTGGAGACATCAGCAGCCACAGTAGCAAAAAGGCAATGCAAAAGGTAGGCAGCAAGAGCGACCAAGGTTTGCAGGTAGGTGTTGCAAAGCTCCCTGTAGGATCAGATCTCAGTGAGATGTTTCCAGAGAAAAAAGAGAAGTTGCCCCTGCAAGATTCAAAGGGAGAGGGAGGAGAGAAGATACAAGAGAAAGTAGAAGAACCAGCCAAAGAGAAGGTGGAAGTACAGTTGGAAGATGTGCCAACAGAAGAACCTGAAGGAAAAGAAGAGCCTGAAGGAGAAGTGGATGAAAAGAAAGATCACAAGGAGGTGGCTGAAGCCTAGCAGGCAGCTGCCTGTAGCAGCCAGCTAGAAGCCAGCTGCTGAGAGCAAAAAAGGAAGCAGAGCTGGGCCAAAGCTGCAGGGTTAGTAGGAGTTTGAGGCAGGTTTCATGAGGTCATTGGCCTAGGAGTTTGAGGCAGGTTTGCATGAGGTTTTTTGGCAGCTGGAGTTTGGCCAGCAGGTTTGCATGAGGTTTTTTGGCCAGCTGGAGTTTGGCCAGCTTGAGAGAGGGTTGGTAATTAGGAGTTTGAGGCAGGTTTGCATGAGGTTTTTTGGCCAGCTGAAGTTTGGCCAGCTTGGAAATTAGGAGTTTGAGGCAGGTTTGCATGAGGTTTTTTGGCCAGCTGGAGTTTGGCCAGCTTGAGAGAGGGTTGGTAGGAGTTTGAGGCAGGTGTGCATGAGGTAATTAGCCAGCATGAAGAAGCGAGCTTGGAGCAGCTGTCAGCTCTCCAAGCAAGTTGTGCTTCAGCTTCAAGCTTTGCATAGCTGCTGGGCTTCCACAGCAGTTGGTGGTTAGTTTTCCTTTCAGCATGAGTTAATTACACTGATTTCATGCATTTGTTTGGGTTCAGTTGACAATCTCAGGTTGCAGAGATGGACAGGCTGGCAGGGCTGATCAGCAAGATGAAGGCCAAGAGGACACAGGTGGCAGTTGGTCTTGTAGCTCTGGCAGTTGGGTTTCTCAGCAACAGAGCCCCAGCTTGACTTAGCTTCTCTTTGGGAAAGTTTGGGAAAGTTTGAGAAAGATTGCCCAACCCCCTGCAGCCCAGGAGATGCTCGCACAGTTGTCATGTCCAAGGGGGCACTGGTGGTGGCACAGTTGGACATTGGAAAGGCTGCTTGGTGTAATTTAGCTGGTTTTCTTTCCACATCTTTAGTTGGTCAACAGTTTGATTTGTTAGACCACTGCAAAGCCACTAATTAATTAGGTGATGCTAGCTGCAAGCATAGCCTACATCATGCAGATCTTGAGAGAGATGAACTCCAAGTTGTCAACAGTGATGGACAGCTGCTGGATCAGTGCCACCAAGTTGGTCTGGCTTGAGATGAGCAGTTGTGCATGTCATTAGCAAAGCTTTGTAGCTTTTCATGCAAGTTTTCAATTTCAGCACAACTAGCTTTGCAGTTTTGCAGCAGTTTTGCAGTTTGCCACAAGCTAATTAAGGAGCTGACCGAGATGCAGCAAGTCACACAGATGTGCAGAGGCACCTGTACCAGTTCATGCTAGACTGGGAGGAGAGTAGCCCAGCTTGGGTTTAGAAGTGGTTCAAGCAGATGTGGACACAGTTGATTGTTTGGTGGGTCCTTTTTCAATAGTTACACAGTTGCCAGTTAGCTGAGGTTCAAACTGGTCAGGTGCCAAAGCATTCACAAGTATGTTGCTGCAATACAGGGCAGCTCCCACACATGCCACAGATGCAGCCAGCTACATGGCAGAGTGGGACCTGGCAGTGAGGTCTGCACAGTTGCAGGTGCAGATTTGCATTTGGGAGAAGAGGTTTCTCAGAGACTCTTGGCTTCGTGATGAGCTTTCTTTGGTTGTAATTCAGCCACATTTTACTTTAAAGGGGGGGTATATAATTAGGTGTTTAGTAGGGAATTAGCACTAGCTTTGAGTAGCAGTAGCCTTTGGGGTAGTGGCCATTAGCAGTTCTAGTCAGCTCAGAAGTTGACCGATGACACGATCAGCTTCAAAGATGTCATGGCTGAGCAGAACGCCTTGCTGAACTCCATTCGGCCAGAGTTGAAGGTGGTGCAGTTCAACCCAGTGCCCTGAAGCAAGTTATGTTACATGCAACAGTTTTTTAATGGTGGAGAGAAGCAGGGAAAGATAAATATAAACAAGCTGCCTCACAACTGCTTTAATTATTAGTTCATTAATCAGTTTTCTTTCCACTGAGCCAAAGACCCTTTGCAGGATGCAACATCAGATGAGCTTGTGCAGCAAGCTGCTCCATGGTCCATGGCTGGGGCAGAGTGGGAGTCCACCATTGAGAAGTTAGAGGTGTTGATGCGCCCTGTTATTTATTCAGACTCTTTTTTTTTGCATTTGAGTTGGCTGCAATTGTTTTGGGTTGTGTTCACTCCCTTTGTGTAGCTTCATCAGTTGGTTAGGTTGTAAGTTTCTTTTACTGAGTGGTGCCAGCTGCAGGCACAAAGCTGGCCACTTCAAGATGGATTGGTGTATAGTTGCACAGATGCCAGAGACACCAAAGCTGATGACAGAAGGGAAGCTGAAGTCTGAGATCAGTGAGTTGGAGAAGCTCCAAGCTTACTGGGAAACCCAGCCAAGAAGGTGAGAAGATAGAGTTAGCTGGTCTTGAGATGGCTGGCCCTAGCCAAGTGGGATAGTTTTGGAAAGAATCAGTAATTAGCTTGCTATCCTGATACAGTGTTTCAAAGTTACATAGAAGCCGTTGGTTTTCAGAATTGCTGGGGCCAGGTGAGTACAGTACTTCATTACAGAAGCTGATCAGTTGCAGTTTTGCAGGGACAGCTCTTTTGGCCAACAGCCTACAGCTGGCTGCTACAATATGATGTTTTCCAGCTGGGGGCTGTTTGAAACCAGTTGTTGGAACCATTAGTTGTCAGTTTGTCTTGGTCACAGAGAATTGCTGCTTTGTTTGGAGTAGGCCCAGAAAAGCTATGTCAGTTATTAATTCATTTCCATGCCAGAGATGGCAAGGACCCCATAAAAGCACAAAAGGATTCTGAGCCAGGTCACTGGTTTTGCATGGGGTTGCCAGCTTGAAGGTGTGAGGTTTTGCATGGAGT